TAAAGAGACAGCTGGCTCCCCTTAACCTAGTCCTGTAGGTTTCTTCAGTTACCCCAGCAGGGCTAAGCTCCGTCCTGAAATTGGCCTTTCTTTAAAAGAAATAGAGGTACAGAGTCCTCAAGATTCATGGGCACCTGAGTTCCTGCCCCCTACCCCCTTGCAGGTTTCCCAGCCCCCTCAAGACATTCATGGATGGATGAGAGGAGCTGACACTGACCTCCCTCTCTGTGACCACCTTCTCTTCGGCCATGGAGGAAGCCTTGCTGCCCCTGGCCATGACCTCTGACCCCAGGCCCTTTAATCAACAACTCCCAGAGCCTCCAGACCCAAGATGTGTCTTGGAACCCCAGGACAATCCTGAATTGGCACCCGCCCTGGTGTGTGCTCTTTGCTGCTGCTTTGGAATCATCTACTGCTGCTTCGGTGAGGGCAGGGCCAGGGTTCTGGGGGGCAGCTGCCCAAGACCGTCACCCTCAAGGATGATGCCAACTTTCTCCTTTGCTCCTGAGCCACCTCTCCTCCTCTGTCAGGGGATGCCTACCTTCAGTGTGGCTGATCTGCTCTTGCCAGCTCTTTTTCATCCCCCATGCCCACACCCTCCAGCTCTGAGCCCTGGCAACTATCATTTGCCCTCCCCTTGCCTCCTACCTCAGGATTCCATTCCCAAATTACCCTCTATGCTTAAGGCTTCTTCACCCTTCCCCAATAATCTGAACCAGCCTGTGCCAATTTCTTCCCGTCTACCATCCCTGGAAGGACGAAACCTTGTTTCTGTACTTATTCCCCTCAATGCATCCATCTTACCGTCTTACCTCCTGATTTGCTCTCCCATCCCCTCTCAGTTCCTGAAAAGTCCCTACCCTCCCTAGATGATCCCTTTCTGCCCTTTGCCTTGAGGTCCCTATGTGTGCTGCTCCTGCCTTCTGCTCCTCTGGTCAGCCATTCCTCTCCCTCCTGATTCATCAGAGCCATCCCTGGAGACCTCTTTCTGCCTCTCAGTGCCTCCTGCCTCCCTTCCCAGGCTACCGCTGCTTCAAGGCAGTGATGTTTCTCTCCGGCCTGCTATCAGGAGCCCTGGTGATCTTCCTGCTGTGCCACAAGGAGCGTGTGCTAGAGACACAGCTGAGCCTGGAGGTGAGCGCTGGCATTGCGCTAGGCATCGGACTCCTCTGCGGCCTAGTCACCATGCTGGTTCGCAGTGTCGGTCTCTTCCTGACTGGTCTCCTGCTAGGCCTAACCCTGGGCGCCGGGGTCCTGCTGGGCACTGAGCCCATCTACCAGCCACCTTCAGCCTGGGTGCCAGCCGGGGGGCTGGTGGGGCTGGCACTGCTGGGAGCCCTGCTCACACTTCGGTGGCCACGTCCATTCACAGTTCTGGGCACAGCCCTGCTGGGTGCTGCGGTGCTGGTGGCCTGTGCTGACTACTTCCTGGAGGGGCTGGCACTGGGCAGTCGGCTGGGCCAGCGCTTGCAGGCACTTCCAGCCTTGCCTCCTCTCTGCTGGTATAGCTGGGTCTTGCTGGGGACCTGGCCAGCCCTGGGGGCCCTTGGGGCCCTGGCTCAGTGGAAGCTCATGGATGAGGAACGTGGAGGCCACACCAATGGTGAGTTACTGCCATGGTACAGAAAGCAGCCAATCTGTGCCTTCTCTTGTCCCTGGTTCCCAGACGTGAGGAGGGGAAGGGGGAAAATCCACTTGAGGCAAAAGGCAGAGGTGTCTAAGGTGAATGGGACAGGGCTTTGAAGACAGAATTGGAGGAGCCAAAGTTCTGGGTAAGAATGAGAAGAGTCATTGTCGGGGTGGGGGCAGGGAAGAGTTACTGGGGACTGATATGGAAGGAAAGGAAGATGTCAGGGAAGTCCAGAAGGAAAGGGTAGGAGGATTACAAAGAAAAGTTTCTTTAGAATAACTGGAGGGGGAATGAGATTTGAGAGCGATGTAACAGGGAGACTGAATGGGTTTCCCTAGAGTATGAGTATATTTGGTGGTGGGTTTCAGAGTCTAAAGAGGCCTCCCTGAGTCTGTATTGCCCCCTCCCAAGCAGTGGTCTTGAGCCACCAGCGAAGGCATCTCCAACTCCTTCGGATCCGTCAGCAAGAGGCTAAGTGGCACCGGACCTCCCCTGGGGTGGGGCTCTGTGAGGGCAGCTACCGGCGCCCGCTCCACCCCAGCGCCCGGAGCCCTGCTGACAGTCTGGCTCCAGTGAGTGGAGGGGTAGGGGGTGCTCAGGGGCATGGGAGAGAGGGCACATGGGGATGCTCAGGGTGGAGGGGGGCTCTGACCCAGGCCCTTTCTTCTGCCCTCTCTGCCCTGTGCCCCTCCAGAGCTATCTCCAGAGCCTTCGAGAGCGCCAGCTGGGACCAGGCACCCAGGCCACAGCTCCCCACACTGTCCTGGACCTGGATTCTGACTGTGGTTCCACTGTACCCCTCACCATACCTTCTGGTTCCACCCGGACCTGAGCCTAAACCTCCACTGATGCCCTCACCCCTAGCAAGGGCCTGGGAACACTAGGTGGGCAGGGCCTGGGCCCACAGGATCCCACACAAACTTCCCCACCTCTTGGGGATGGAATCTGTGCTCCAACCCAGAGCAGTCCTGTAGGGATATGTTTTAGGTACAGATAGAGAAGAATCTTGTAGGGAAGGGAGACGAATGGAAATATGAGTACCTACCTCTGTCCAATAATAGAGGTGCCCTGGCCCCTAAAGTAACTGACTCCCTAATTCCCTCCAAACCAAACCAAGGAGGACCGTTACCCAAATAGCCTTCTATATACCCGCCTCAGTTTGCCTCACAATGGTAAAATAAGGGGTTTTGTTTTTGTAGGACCTATACAAAATCAGGAAGCCTCCTAAAGCCCTGGATAGCTTTTTGATGGGGAGAAGGGCAGCAGAGGAGCTCAAGGATCCCTAATCCCCAGGTCCCTCATTAGGGGGCAGTTGGGTTCCTGGTTAGCCTTTCCCTCTGGACCCCGTAGGCTCAAGCCCCCTTCTCCTACCTCAGTTGGGGGTACTGTCCTCCATGGTGCTTCCCTTTCCCTTCTTCTTAATGTGGGGAAGACCACAGGGCAGTGCCTGGCTCAGCACCCACCTTCCCCCAAAGCTGGCTTCTTGCTCCAAGGAGAGAGCATTGGTCCACATGCCAGAGTCTTGCCCTTTTGCCCAAAGGAGCCTGGTCTTCAGGGCTGCGTGGAAGACAAGGGCCTTCTCTGCCTCTCATCATAGGTGACACTAATCTCCTTAACCAGAACATTGTCCCAGCCACTAACCCATTCTAACTCTCCACTACCCCTGATCCTCCTGCCCAAAATCTGTTCCCTGGTTCCCCAGACAGCATGAAGGAAGATATGTCCCTGCCCCGGGGAAGCAAGGTTATGATGGGAGGGAGGAAGAACACGGGAGCATGTGAATAAAATGGCATTGAACATTGAATCAGGGAGTCCAGCCTCTACTGTTGCTGCTCTTTTCTTTCTTTGCACCCCAGGACAAAGGGTTAGCCATACTGACAAGTCCTCTGTCCCTTAAGGATCTGATGAGGGTACCTTTATCAGACTGGACTACCATAGAAGCTGCACACGCACAGCCAGAGGAAGAGTTGTTCACTGCTGTCTCATGAACGTGAAGTTAACCTTCATTAAGCACAAATGCTCCAGGCACTTCACATATGGTATTTCATTTAATGCAACAACCCTGAAGGATTGGTATTAACCTTATTTTGCAGATGGGAAATCCAAGGCTTAACGAGGTTAATTAACTTGCCCAAAGTCATAAGCAAGTAAATGTGATTCTCCAGGATTACAAAGCCGTTGCTCATTTTACTGGCTGTGCTGTTTTCTTGCACTTTATCTAGGAAGAACAGGACCCAGGCTTTCCCAGTTGTGGCCTCCTGTCAGCTAAAGGCCTGATGGCTGCCTTTCCTCTACCAATGTCCTCCAGAGAGTAGATGGGGAAGAAATGGTTGGAGTTGGGGGCTGAGTTAGAGAGTCACTGCCCAGGAGGGAAAGAATACAGGGGAGTGGTGGCTGGAGCTGGGACATTTAGAGGCGTGAGGTCCATGGTTCATGCTCGTGCTGCAGCAGACGTTTGATTGAGGTCTTAGATCTCTGGGAGGGTGACGTTGCCACGGAATAAAAGGGTGGTGGAGGCTGTGACTGAGCGGGTAATGTTCAAGATCGTATCTCTGGCTGAGCGGTCAGTGTTCAAAGTGATATCTATGGCCAAGGGAGTGGTATCCAATGTTGTTCCTGTGTCTGAGGAAGTGGTGTCCCCACCTGATGGGGTGTCTGGGGTCTGGGGACGACAGTGCATCCAGTTGTGGGCGATATCTCTGGGATAGCCTTTCTCTACTCGAAGCTGCGGATTGAGGCGCCAGTACTGTCTGCCCTTAAAGAAGTAGATGCGGCCATCCCGCCAGCTCATGGCACCTGAGGGCCGGTCTGGCACTCCTGTAAACAACCTCTTGGTTGGTTTGGGGTAGCGGCTGAAATCAGTTGGGGCCAGCTCGTCCCACTGCCAGTAACCGGAACCCTAGGTGTGGGGCAGACAGGGAGAAAAGGAGGATGAGAAGAGAGCTTAGGGACCCCCCAGAGGTCTACCCTCAGCCCACAGCAGCTGCAGAAGAGCTCCCTTCAAGAGCAAGTCTGCTCCTCCGCGTGAGGTAGCCCGCCCCTCCTAAGAAGGGATTTGCCCTTGCTTTGAACTTTATACCTTAAAGAGGAACACCTTTTTGTTGAGAGGCCAATAGAGAGCAGCATCCAGGTTAGGTTCTACCCTATTCAGCTTCTTAGGGAAGCCAGGAGACATCTTGAAATTAACGTAGCGCCACACCTTGTCTCCTGAGAGCATGTAAGGAAAGAACAAGACACCTCTGTTGCCAGGTGATAGCTTTCAGTTCCTCCATTCCACCATCTCAGAAACTTCTCATCCCTCCCTCCTTTTATGGATTCTCTGATTATAGGCCCTCCTCAGGTAACACACTGTAAACTAGTCCCCTCACCCTTAAAGAAGTGAATCCATTGCGTCCGAGGAGAGTAGACAGCAGCATCCAGGTTTCCTGGGAGCCCCTCCCAAAGGGCAGACACTTGGAACAAGGGACCCAGCCCTGAATCTGTCACGGTCCACACGTAGTTTCCCTTGAAAGCGTAGGTCTTCCCTCGGGGCCCTGAGAGCATAAGCATGTCAACAAGTCAAAAAGACAGGGGTCGGGCTTCCCTGGTGGCGCAGTGGTTGAGAGTCCGCCTGCCGATGCAGGGGACACGGGTTCGTGCCCCGTTTCGGGAAGATCCCACATGCCGCGGAGCGGCTGGGCCCGTGAGCCATGGCCGCTGAGCCTGCGCGTCTGGAGCCTGCGCTCCGCAGCGGGGGAGGCCACAGCAGTGAGAGGCCCGCGTAACGCAAAAAAAAAAAAAAAAAAAAAAAGCAGAGGTCAAATAAAGACTGTGGGTATCTCAGGCAGACTAATCATTTGCTGTCCTCTCACAGGCTGATTTCCGCTGAGCCTGCGCGTCCGGAGCCTGTGCTCCGCAACGGGAGAGGCCACAACAGTGAGAGGCGAGGCCCGCGGAAACAAAAAAAAAAAAAAAAAAAAAAGGCAGAGGTCAAATAAAGACTGTGGGTATCTCAGGCAGACTAATCATTTGCTGTCCTCTCACAGGCTGATTTCTCAAAAATTCATTCAACTTTAATTCAGAGAGATTAAGGGCAGAGAAGGAGGACCCAGTGTTCAGCCTCTCCCTTATTGTTCACAGCAAATCAGCCCTGGCCCAACAAAACAAAACAAAAGCCCTGCAGGTAGCTGCTCCCCCTTGGGGACCTCCCCTCCTACCCCAGGTGGCTTCCAAGTTGTACTTCCATGTGGGTATAACACCCTCTCTAATAGACATTCCAGTCAAGACTGTTTTCTCCATCCTGCTGTATTTCCAGATGTTTTTAGTGGCCCTCATAGGGTGGCAGCAGAAGTAAATTCCAGCCTGGCCCACCTTTAATTTGGTTCTGAATCCTCCCTCCCCATACCACATGCCTCCTTCCATGGCCACCAACCCCTGTCTGGTGGTAAACTGCCATTGCTCACGCTTAGGTCCAATGTCACTCCCATCTCAAGGTCAGCAGGCCACCCCACTGCCTGCCTACAGCCTAGAGGAGAAGGGTCTTACCCAGCATCATGGCGTCCAGTTCACCACTGCAGGGGTCTGGCATGGGACTGGGTTCTGTGGGCACTTGGGGTACAGTGGGGAGCTCCGTCTCTTCTTCCTCATCCTCTGTCTCTGGGCTTTTCTTGCCTGCAAGGTAGCAGGATCCTGCTCAGGGAGAGAAGGCACTGGCCTCCCCAGTCTTCTACTGTAAGCTCAGCTCAGAGGTCCCGTAGAGAGGAAAAGGCAAAGCTAGAGAGCTTTCCTTGGTGGGAGGAAAGATCATATTGATACCAGCAGGAGACATGTTTTTAGTTTTGAGAGGCACTGGAAAGGGAGAAGGGGGTTTGCTGGAATGTTCATTCTTCATCCCCTAGAACAGGTATGAGGGGAGAGAGCTCTGGCAGAAAGATTAGACCTGGAAGTGTCAGAAAAACAGCTCTTGGGAGTTCCCTAGTGGCCTAGTGGTTAGGATTCTGGGCTTCCACTGCAGCAGCCTCGTGGCCTGGGTTCAATCCCTGGTTGGGGAACTGAGATCCCACGAGCCACGCGGCGAGGCCAAAAAAAAAAGGAAAGAAAAGCAGCTCCTGAAAATGAAGAAGGCCGAGTAACTGGGCAGGAGGAAGGGAAGGAAGCCAAGCCACTTCCTTCCATGAAGATTAGACCTGTCTCTTCATGCCTGAAGAGATACTGGTCAGACTGACCTTCACGATCACCAGGGGAAAGGACTGACCATAGAGAGCCTGGATCCCAGCCACATCATCCGGGTGCAGCTTGAAGTGGGGCCGGTAGCCAGCATAGACAGGGGCCATGAGGGCCTGGGTGTATCGGGAGTGCCCAAGCCCCAGGGCATGGCCCAGTTCGTGGGCTGCAATGATGCGCAGGTTCACCCCCCGGTAGGTCTCCTCAGTCCAGAGCTCATCTTCATCAAAGTGCACACTGCCTAGCTCTGGGATGTCGGCATGGGCCAGGACCCGCCCTGGACAAAGGCAAAGGTAGACAGGAAGGAGGTCAGAATCTCCTAGGGTGGAGCATCCCCTGCCTGTTATAAACTCCAATTACTCCATTCCCTTAAAATTCCCCCATGTATATTCACTGTCTCTTGGATACCTCTCACTCTGTTCAGATTCCGCTGTCATCACTCCATTCTCTCAGGGATGCCCATCACTCTGTCCCTTTACCTCCCAGCCACTCTATCATCTCTGGCCCTGTCCTCTCTGAGTTATGCCTTGAGCAGAGGAACTTAAACCAACGAAGAAGGCATAAGCTTCAAAGAAGAGGCTTGGTAAGGCCCCAGGGAGGTGACATGCTGCTTCCCAAGGGAATATTAGAAGGTGGTTAGAGAGTGTAGGGTGCAGTTGAGCATGGGGGTGGCCTGACATTAAGGTTCCAGAGTCACTGACTCAAGGGGACAGAGGTCTGTGAAGTGAGAGTCGAGAGCTGGTGCCTACCAGGCCCATCAAAGGTATTGGAGCAGTATGGGCTTTGGCGGCCATGGAAGGAGAGGCGGATATCAGCCCAGCCAGCCTTCACCTCCCGGAAGGTCAAGGGAGCCACATTGCTCCAGTACTGGAAGGCTTGAAGCAGAGCTGCCCGGGCTGTGTAGGATGGGAGGGTGGAAGGCAGGTTCAAGATGCGGAAGGTCAGGTGCTTCTTTCTCCAGCGGCCTGGTTAATTGGACCAGAAAATAAATTAGAAGCACAGATACTTTTGCCAGCTCCGAAGAGTTCCCCTGAGTCTGGGCACTCACTTAGCAAAGCTGTGAAACAACCACTCCAGGCAAGTGATGATCAGTTAATTACCAGGTGACCATCCATTCAACATTGAGCTCATTCAGGCTGTCCCAGTGCCACCTGTGCTCCATAGCCATGCCAACCCCTCCTCTCCCTCCCTTTCCCAGGCTCAGCCCTCACCCAGCAGCAGGTATTTAAGGGTCTTCTTGTTGAAGGGGTCCTCCAGACCACAACGGGGCTGCCTCATACGGGCCCTCGTGGTGTCATCTAGCTGACCTGAGACTGGCAGCTCAGATGCTTCCTGAAAAGCTCTAGAAAGAGGGAGAGGGATGGGTCCAGCAGGGAAGGGGCATCTGGAATGACTGAGAACTGGGGATAGCTCTTTGGCCCCCCGCTGCCGAAGGTGGTGGCTGAGAATGGCCCAAAAGCTCTGAAGCTGATGGGATCACTCCAGGATCCAGTCCTCATAATTGGGACTTCCTCTTCTGTTCTGGGTAAAGGCAATACTCCAGCTTCACCTCCTGTGTTCATGCTCTTATTTGGGTAAAGTGCCATGTGGCATTGCCTTCTTCCTCTACTGCAATTTCTAACCTCCTTCTGATCTAGGTAAGTGTCCTGCCTCCTGCTCTGGAGACTTTCCCACCACTGCTCCCACCTGAAGGCCTGTCCTCCCTTTGCTTTCTCCCCCTCCTGGCTGGACCCGTCCCTCCCAGCCCAGCCTGCTCTGGGGCAATTTCATCCATCAGGCGCCGCAGGTACTGTGACTTTTCAAGGGCCTGGGAACATATCTGAGAGCAGAAAGAAAAATGACCCATTAGATCCAAAATATGAAAACTTCAAAATAGAAATAAATAAATCCTATATTAAATGTCTACAAAAGGCAACATCATGTCAACAACTCAATTCACAGTTTTACATATAAATTATACTTCATGTGGAATGTGACCAAATAATAGTATTTTGGATATAACATGGCATGGAGCCTCCAAAGAAGTGCTTAGGGCCTAGGAAGATCCAATGACTGTGCCCTCATCTTTGAATCCCCATCTCACCCCAGGCCCCACCACCCATTCCCTAGATCCCCAACATGGACCTGGGTTAAGCAGAGGTGGGCCTGGGGACTGAAAGGGTTTAGAAGAGAGAAAGGAGACCTTGTGACCTTGACCCTGAAGGCATGCACCTTATGACCTCTCACCTCAGAGCTTCTATGATATCTTCTGGCCTGAAGTCATCAGGTCCTTCTAGAGGCTTCTGTAGGTACCCGTATTGCAACAAGTAATCCTATGATGAGGGTAGGGGTCAGCAGAATAAAAGGAGGTTAGTCTCTGGGTGAAACTCTAAGTGACCTAACAGCCCATAAGGACAGGAGGGGACAGACGTGGAAGGACAAAAGGAGAGGCATGTTTGGGGAGGAAAAAGGGGAAGGAGTGGAGATGGGTAGGGGTGGATCATGGAATAGAGGAAGGAAGGGAAAGGAAGGCAGTTGTAGGTCAGAAGGGAGGCTTGGATGGGACCATGGAGCAGTTCCTCCATCCCTCCCCCAGCCTGGGTCTGACCTTCCCAGGGCACTCACCACTGCTGCCTCCCTCTCTCCAGGCCCCAGGGCCCAGCACGAGACTGTCATAGGCAGTAGGAAGCCCAGCCACAGCCGCTGCCAGTTCATAGTCCCACCGGGCAAGAGCTCCAGAGGCTGTTTGTGCCCTCTGCCCTGAGATTTCTGGGAGCCTGGGGCAGCAGGGCTAGGTTCTTTTCACTCTCTAGTCTCTGGTCCTCTTCATAAAACTTCAGAGGAGGGGAATTGGGGGGAGCGTCAGTAGGAGGTGACTCAGCCCAGAGATGTGTTGCAATTCACAATTAACCTCTGCCCTGCCAGAGAGCGGAAATCAAGAAGAGCCTCCAACCCTATCCCCCAGGGTCCTCTGCTGGAGACTGAAAGACTTTCCATATTGTCCTGGGGGTGGGTATCCTGGCAGGATCAGAGGCAGAATATCTGCAAAGACTAGGGATAGGGACCATGGCCATCCTCTGAAGCTGGACATTCCTGTGCCCCAGTGACCCTTGGGTAGCAAACCCCTCGTCTGCAACCTTCATGTCTCCCTATCTGCTCTAGGATAGGAAAAATAATAATAAAACTAAGAGGTAGGAAGCAAGTTGCTTGGGTGCTTGGGTTTCAGGTGAAGGACTGAAGGATGAGATCTCAGTTTCTTTGCATCCAAGACCAAGTTGGGAATTCAGATGCTCTTGAAACCTACTTGTGTCTGCTTTAATAAAAAGTCATCATTTAAGGCATTTAATGTACCTGGAATGTGTGGGTGCGGGGGAGGGATAACAAGGATACAAGGAAGTAAAGGGCCAGAGCCTGCCCGCAGGGACATTACAGATAGGGTGAGACCAACACAAGCACCTGAAATGAGGGGAACCAGGGTGCCAGGCAGGGGGTGCCCCAGCCTGAGGGCCATGGGGCTGTGGGAAGGCTCGCAGAGGAGGCAGGCTTTGAGCTGGGCTGTGAGGGCTGGCTATGAGTTGGATGGAGTAAAAGAGTCCTGAGGAACAGGGACAGTGCAGGTCTTGAGCAAAAGTGCAGAGGGGAAAAAAGCCAGCTGTGCCCAGTGAGAGGTTCTGAGGCTGTGCTTCGTTCCTACCCCAGGATAGGTCAGTGCTTCGGGTGCTGCTTAATATGTCTGTCAAATGAATGACCAGGCTGGGAGAGTGGCTGGGAGCCAGAGATTAGAGACGGTCTTGAATACTATGTGAGAAAGAAGAGAAAACCTTACAGTTAAAGAACTACTTTGTGTTAGGTGATTCATATATTATCTCATTTAATTCTCACTATCCTATGAGGGAGGAATTATTCTGACCTTTTTTTAAAAATTAATTAATCTATTTATGGCTGCATTGGGTCTTCGTTGCTGCACATGGGCTTTCTCTAGTTGTGGTGAGTGGGGCTACTCTTTGTTGCAGTGCATGGGCTTCTCATTGTGGTGGCTTCTCTTGTTATGGAGCATGGGCTTCAGTAGTTGTGGCACATGGGCTCAGTAGTTGTGGCTCGGGGGCCCTAGAGCGCAGGCTCAGTAGTTGTGGCGCACGGGCTTAGTTGCTCCGCGGCACGTGGGATCTTCCCGGACCAGGGCTTGAACCCGTGTCCCCTGCATTGGCAGGCAGAGTCTTAACCACTGCACCACCAGGGCAGTCCCTCTGGCCATTTTTTTGAGAGAGGAAATGGAGATTCAGAGAGGGAAACTTGACTAAGGACATGGAACTCCTAACTGGCCTGGCATATATTCAAATCCCTCTGCCAACTCCCAACCAGCACTCTTTCCATGCACCACGCTGACTCTTAGAGCTTTGTTCTCTAAGTGGTTAGGAGCCACTGAAGTTTCCACCATCACCTGTGCATCACAGAACACTTACATACCATTCAAATGCACAGGGAAGTAGGGATAGGAATGGGGGAAGGGGTTACTGAACTCATGTTTTCAGTGGGACCCCAGTTCTGAGCCCTCCCCCACATCCCAGGCTGCAAGGCTGGGAGGCCACAGAGGAACACTTCACACCCCAGGATGGAGGCGGGGGATCCTCCTGACTCATAGTGTTGCCCTCAATGATGCTGGTCCTCTTGACCCACTCAGCACGCAACTGAGGAATAATAATCAAGTGACTAAGTCCCAAATGGCCAGTGACAGGCAAGCAAGGACATAGCCTCTGACTGATGAGTGGCAGAGGCCGTGACTGAGGCCATGATCAAGGCTGCTGCCCCCAGGAAATGAGGGAGCTTGGGAATCAGCTCCATTCAGCCCCCTGCAGGGCTTTTCTCAGCCCTGCCCTTCTCTTCCTCTTTCCACCCCTCCATCCCTCAATCCCTCTTCTTTTGAGAAGAGGACATGGGCCAATTGAAAATTATATATTTTTTTCTGATTAAAGTCTTCTCTATTTTTTTCCTTTTTTAAAAATTTTTATTTTATTTACTTTTGGCTGTGTTGGGTCCTCGTGGCTGCACGTGGGCTTTCTCTAGTTGTGGCAAGCAGGGGCTACTCTTTGTTGCGGTGCACAGGCTTCTCATTGTGGTGGCTTCTCTTGTTGTGGAGCACGGGCCCTAGGCGCGTGGGCTCAGTAGTTGTGGCTTGCAGGCTCTAGAGCACAGGCTCAGTAGTTGTGGCGCACAGTCTTAGCTGCTCCACGGCATGTGGGATCTTCCTGGACCAGGGATCGAACCTGTGTCCCCTGCATTGGCAGGCAGATTCTTATCCACTGCGCCACCAGGGAAGCCTTCTATTTCTTTTTTTTCTGAATAAGATATTCATTGCTCATTATAGTAAATTTGGAAAATACCAAAATAAGCAAGGAAGAGAATGAAAACCACCAGCAAATTCTACCCAGAAGAAAACCACTAGTAATATTTTGATGCATTTACTTGGAACTGTCAGTGGCTCTGAGTTCAGCTCCAGCTCTGCCAGCCCAGCCTCAGCCCCTGGATGGAGACTGTGGGTGGGATGAGAGAGAAAGTGAGCATAGTGGGGGAGGGACAGGAGCTGAGAAGGGTGTGGGGAAAGGGAAAGGAGTAAAGTAAGATGAATGTGATAGCAGATTACTCCCTCCCCTTGGGCACCTCATATAGCAACAACAACAACAACAACAACAACGAAAAGTGGGGGTAGGGGGAAGAATGCTTAGGAGTGTATGTTAGTACGTTAGTGAGAGAGATAATGGTTATTATAAAAGGTAAAGGGTGGGCACTCACGCTGGCCTCGGAGCCGCATTCTAGACACTAAGGAGCCAGGGAAAGAACAGAGTGAAACAGTAAAATTTGCCAAATAGTTTATCTCATTTAAATCTCGACAACAGCCCTGTGGGCTGGTATTATCACCTTCTATGGAAAAGGAGACTGAGTCTCTAACAGGTTACTTTGGGTCACACAGCTAGGAAGAAGGAGCAGAGCCTCAGGCCCAAGCTATGATCTTCGCAGTCTCCCAAGAGTTTCCACAGGCCCCAAAACAAACCCCTTAGAGCCAGGAACTGCAAGCTGGGCATGTGTGCAAGACTGCGTGACTAACTGTTCCCATAACGGCATAATGACCTCCACTTCCGCCAGTCCCCACCCCCTGAGCCGAGCTGACCCAGCTCTTTTTCCCTCTGAATTTGTCATCTCTCACTGGGGGACATGTGTGAATGTGTGCGAAGGGTTAGGACATGCGGTCTGTCTGACCCAAAAAGAGAACTTGAGTCTGAGAGAAAGAACTCCCGGGTTCTTTGGCTGGCTTGCTCCCATCCTGCAAACTGCTTTCCCTCTCTGCCCACAGTTTGTGGTAAAAGAGTTTGTATAGAAATATATATATATACATATATATATATATATTTTTTTTTTTTCGGTACGCGGGCCTCTCACTGTTGTGGCCTCTCCCGTTGCGGAGCACAGGCTCCGGACGCACAGGCTCAGCAGCCATGGCTCACGGGCCCAGCCGCTCCGCGGCATGTGGGATCCTCCCGGACCGGGGCACGAACCCGTGTCCCCTGCATCGGCAGGCAGACTCTCAACCACTGCGCCACCAGGGAAGCCCTAGAAATATTTTCAATTAAAATATTTTAAAGTGTAGCGGCAGGAAGTACGTAAGATTCTGAGAGTATGTTCTCATGTTCAGGAGCTATGGGGCTGTGGGTGAAGGGCAAAGGTTGGCAGAGGTCTCTAAGCCCAGGAAAAGCCAATCTCCAAATCATCACCCACCCCCCTCTGACAGCATCCTCACCCTAATTGGGTGACCTGGAGGGCTGCACATTCTGGTATATAAAGAGCAAGTCTGGGGTCTGAAACTGGAAACTGGAGGTGAGAAAAACGTAGGGTGTAACCAAATTAGGGCTGGCCTAGATACTGCTCTTGATCTAGAGAAACGTGGGAGAAATATAGTGTCAGCCTCTGGCCTGTTTTCCCCTCAGAGCCCTGAGGGGGTCAGGAGAGAGGGCAGTTTGCCTGGCTGAATGGGATTGAGTTCTCGCCAGCTGTTATCTTGGAAACCTCTGTTTTTAAGAGGACCCCTCCCCCAACAAACACACACACTCCTTTAATTAGTTATGAGTTCCTAGAAGCCAGATGGGAAGCGATGGCCAGGATTGTGCACAGCTGGATCTGGTTACTAACCGGGAAGTGGGAGGGGCTTGGGGATGGCTCAGGCCTGGGCCAGCATATTCTGTTCCCAGGATACCCCAAACTCCCTCAACCCCCATTACAAACACTTTCTGGCATTCCCTCCCACCCGCACAGGCACTAGCCTAAACTTGCTCGGTTGAGAGGACATCAGACCCAAATCCCTGAGCTCTTCGGTTCCTGTCAAGTGTTGGGGAGACCAAGGTCTGCTCCCCTTCTCCAATCCACATACAAAGGTGTTATCCCACAGGACTCCCCTGGAGATGCTGGAGGCTTCTGCTGGTGGTCCCATTACCCAGCACAGTGCCGAAGGGCTGCATGAGAGGATAAATTCTAGCATCTGAAATAAGGAAGGGAGTAGAGGAATGAGTGTAAGTGTTCTTTCAGCATCTGGGATGATAAGGAAATGATGGTAGCACAAAGGATTTTTGCTCCTTCTGGGAATGGCAGCCTTTTCCTTAACAAAACCCAAACTGATCTTTATTGATTTTCCCAAGCGAAGTGGGATGTTGGGGAGCAATTTGGCC